ATTTTATAATATAAAATATACGAGAATAATGAAATTAAATCTCAATTTAATAATACATTGTAAAACATAAAAGTATATCAGGCCTGTCTAATTTTAACTCTGAAGATAAAACGCAAAATTATCGACGATAAAAAAAATCAATATGGGAGACTAAGATTTTGGAGACTAAAGTGGTAATATACGTTTGAGCGACGCTTGCATATATGCAATGTATATAACTTATTGAGTTTTATATTATATTAAGATAATAAATTGAAAAATAAAATAATTTTAAATACAAAATGCCGTAAGGTGACCCAGAAATACATCAATCTTCGCATACATTTCTCTTACTGTCACATTTTTTTATTTTTCAAATATTTTCACAGCGCTTTCTAATTAACAAGTATTAGGCTCAGCCAAGTATTTTTCGTAATAAATAAATTTATTTACAGATTTCCATTAAGATTTCCATTCTCTTTAATAGATAATGCCTATTGAGCATCAAAATTTCATTGTAATTATTACAGTAGCTGAGCTACGTTTCTAAGTTCGAAAAAATTAATTCGGCGCGTATTTCAAATGACTACAAAATATATTTAGTATACAAAGTATATTTATATGTACATGTATAATATATACAAATTTACATGGAATTATTTGAGCATTAAAGATCCAACTTCGATCATTATGATCTTTAGTTCCGATTATGTTATTTTTACATGTACAGTTCTAAAAGATTCTTATTGTTTTTTTCTAATTAAGTTTAAAATAGGTCACCTTTCTCGTGCCGTATTGAATCTGTTCATCAAGGCGTCAAGCTTCGTAAAAGCACTCATTCAAGCGTTTTAGACGGATCTAGTTTGTGCGCTTTTGGAAACCACTATATTATACACGCCTATAAATCCACTGCAAAAATACAAGCTATATCCATAAAAACGACAAGCTACCGAACCTGTAGGTGTCCACAGCACATTACGCACCGTAGTGTATATTCGCGTACACGAAAAACCAATATTGCTACTCGAACAACACGATTAAAGCTCGATCTTGAAAGCCAGCACAAACCTGAATGCACCTCTAATTTCGTTAGGTACGTACGTGTACGTTGTTTACAACGGTTAGTTATACCACTTAATAATAACCTCACGTACTAGGACACATCTTCAGGTATAAGTTTCAATAACCGATTATTGTAAGAAAGAATTAATTATTGTTACCAAATATTGTTAGCCGTACAAAATTATCTTTGTAAGCACATCACAATTAATACTTTTTAAATTGCTATTAAAAATTGAGTTTTTCAAAAAATGAATTTTATTGTTAAAATGGTAAATACAATTTTATTTTCCACTTAATTCAAAAGTTTTAAAAAGCGTTTTACCTTGTGTTGTGACAAACAGTTAAAGTTTTACTTTAAAAAAGTGATTTCAAAATAATTGTAAATTAAAAATAACAAATTAGACTCTGTATAAAATATTTACATAAAATTTGTTTACTAAAATATGAAAGCTTAAATTTTAATTGCTTTTATTTATTCATAAATGTCTCTTTTACTGTGTAAATATTTTTCGTGTAAAAATCTAATACTAGTATCTCCGAAAAAGAATCGTAATTGTTTATTCCGATGGATTCGTGCAACGTATTGCGACGTCAAATGATTACTCTTTTCTGCACGAGAGCTTCGAAAAATAAAAAAATAAAAATGATCAAGTACACGCGTGATCCCCTCACAGTAAAGCCATCTTTCGCAATACTGCACGCGTATCACAGTACAATTTTTCAAACTTTACAGAAAATTTATTCCGGCCGATTGCGACTGTGCCAACAGTTCCGTCATGTCGCATAAATTACGCGTGCATTCGTCGGTCGATCGAGCGTAGTTAAAACCCTGCTCTGAGAGCGTTAACAGTTTTCCAGGAGCAAACACTCCAACGCTGTTTGCCCTCTTGCCTTGACAATATTGGCCGCCCGTCACCACCACTCGATAACTGGCTCGATGCTTCCATACGCAGCTTTACTTTGCTCTCCAACCACATGATACCACGCATAAACGAATATAAAAAGAAAACGAACAAAATGCATGTATTACTCAAAATTATATCGATAAATAGTCAAGATACATTTCTCAATTTGTATTAAGAATCTCTTTTTTCCTTGATTTTAGGCTCAATCGTTGCGATATATTCGACAAAATAATCGAATTAAAAAATAGGTAATAGATAGTTTTCGCGATAAATTTATTTAAACATTCACAATACATTAAGATCTTCTTAAAATGATGCCAATTAAGCATCAAATTATTAAATTACTAATCAATTTAATTTGTGATATTATGATAGGTCTTACTTATTGTGTATTCACGTTATATATAATCTAATAAATTTATTATCGAATTAAAAAGAGGCCAGAAGGTATACTTTGAATACCAAAATAGTTGATTGAAATAATATAAAAGTCTGATAAATATTACTTACTTTCTGTGTATAATTTCGGAATCGTATTGTATGAAATCATAAAAACTAATGTAAAAAAAAGTTGGGAATTTTATTCAGGTAGAATTACAAATTATCCTATTATCGAAAATAAAAGAAATGATTTATAAATAGTGTAAGGACAGAATTGACAAAATTATCTCAAAATAATATAATAGTAAAAACAGTTAAAATACACCTAACATTAAAAATAGATAGTTGATAAATATATATACCTCAAATTATAACATGATTATTATAACTAGACATGAAAAATATCTTATTGTAAGGACTATAAAGATTCTTCTTCGTTATAAATATACAATAAAAAGTGATTTTTTCATACGATTTTACAGATATATCTCTCTTACAAATTTTATGAATCTGGAACTGATCAAATGACTAAATTCGCATGAATAACCAGAAAAATCAACATATACAAATATTTACGCAACGCATATGTTTACATCTATTGCAAGAGCAAATTGTAGATGCATGAATTCTATGAACAATGATGCCAATAGCGATGTTCCTTGGGGATATCATAATAGCTATATGAGCTATGAAAACAATGCATTGATATTCTAAGGAGAACCGAAGTGACGTACACGCATAAGCCATGTATATTAATCTCCGGTAAATGCTGAATTAACATGAAAGGTACTGTGAGTGGCTGTGATTTTCGGGAAATTGTTTTTGTTTCTCTTCAAAAAACTTCATGTATAAAAATTAAACATAAAGAAGATTCAGTTTAATATTTGCCAGAATGACACAACGTAATAACTAATTTAACTTCTGTAAAATAAGACAAATACGTGAAAAAAACTCATTTTTCGGATCTTTTCAAAATAGAAACAATATCATTAAAGAGATTAAGCTATTCTTCTCTCCCTCTCCCTCCCCCCTCTCTCTCTCTTTCTCTCTCTCTAGGATTTTTATTTCTAGCACTATAGTAGAGTCTTTACGTACATCTCGAAACGAATACGCGGGCTCATAGTTGCGGTTGATCACTTCTTTTGTTTTTTTTAACTCTTTTTCGCGCTCACGCACACACGGAATATCATCGCTTCGAGTGACATTCTGGCCCTCGAGCGCAGATATAGCCACTCGAGCCATTGTTTGCGCTTCGGCTGATCTTCCATTTACGCTGCAGGTAGGCGTATTTCTGGCGACTAAGCCATACTTCACTTGCATTATCTATCTATGCATATCTCCGTTAAAAGTAACGATGACACGCGTCGCGACCGGCGAATCGAATCATATCACTCTCCCTATAACTGATAATTAATGCTCGGGAAGCATTGTTGACTGAATAATGATGGACTAATTGTAAATGATTATTTTTACTTAAGGATGTTGTGAGACAAATGCAATATGTTAAGAATTACTTGAAAAAATTACATATTATTCTAAATTGCATTTAAAAGTACAAAATACAAAAAAATTAGAGACCATCTGGATCAAAAGTTATTTCAATAAAAAGTAATATTTTTTAAATTTGTACTGTATAATAAGAAATATATGAAAAATATATTATAAAATAATAATAAAAAAAATCTCTTTTTTTATATAAATCTCTTTTTTAATAATTTTATGATTTCAAAAATATTTATTTAAAGTTACATTGAGATGCAGACATTAATTGTTCAGTAAATAAATAAAATAGTTACTTATTGGTGATTCTCAATGAAACTTTGCATAAGTCATTTTTAATACTTAAAATATTCATATATAAAAATTTAGAATTTTGTTATTATTTAAAAAATTTTTGTTTTATAAAACAATAAAACTAACATCAAATAATATATAAAAATAAAAATTTGCTAAATAAAAACCGAATGTTAACAACTTTCATGTGTTCATCCTAATAACACATTTTATCTGAGACACATTTCATCCTGAGAATAAAATTCTTGGGATGTTCAAAGGACATAAGAACGTCCTTTGGACGTCCTCTGAAGATCTGTGTTGTTAGAATAGTTTGTTTAAAGCGTAAATATTAATATACACATATGTGTTTTATGCTCTTACAATTTCCTTAACAATGTATGTACTATTACTTCAGAACAACCGATTAATTTAAACAATTGTTCAATTAAATTACTAATAATACAATGAAAAATTTTAATCATTTCTCAACAACTAATAATAATAGTCGATTTTCCTTGTAAACATTTTTACTGAAAAAGGATATGCTTTTCAAAAAATTCTGTACCTTTCAATTTTTAAAAACTCTATTAATTTTGAATTTCTTATTCAGAACAATGCAAATTTGTAATATATATTAATATATATACCTAAGAATATAATTTGTATTTTTAAAGCGAATTTTAAAGAGAATTTATGTTTATAAAGCAGAGAATTTGTATAATTAAAGCATAAAATATTTATTCTAGCCTTATCTACATGTTCTCATACATATCCCTTTATATCACCGATGTGACATCAGATTTCCTAATCAGGAATGCTATTTAGTATTCTGTATAACTTTCTGTATGTATGTACAAGGACTTCGATTCTTTCCTTCGGAATTTTCACAAACTGAAAAATGACCATTTTTCTACATTAATGCTCATAGTCCGTGCGCGATTAATGACACTAAACCTTACATACATTTACAACTAAATTTGACATAAAGACGAAATAATCTGAATTTTTGAAAGTTTTAAAAAAATAACCGAGAGAAAGAATCGAAGTCCTTGGGTGTACACGCCTGTCATGAATATAGTTGTCGCGGTATCGTTATGTATTTTACGCAGATATTTGGTATGATAAAAAAACTACGCAAAAAAATATAACGACACCGATAACTATTGTTAGGCATGTACAGAAAGTTACAGAATAGCACTCCTGAATAGTCATCAACGATTAATATCTCGATTCGTGGAGCAGAGCAACGCTTTTATTTCTGCAAGATTCTTTCATTTCATGCAAAAACGTGTCAAATAAGCCTATAATTTCATTTTTGAGGTGTAAGTGATACATTGAATAATTACCATGGATGTAATTGGATTTGCTCAACATCAATTTGCGATTTAAATGATAAAATGAGATGAGATTTGCTGTCATCCCAACAAATGAGAATGAATTGAAATGGATTCAAATTTTCAGAAATATTGATTCACAAATGTTAAAATAAATGCTTTTCAATCCTGAATGCATTTTTATTCATTTATTATTGCATGGAGCCTATTTCTATACCTTTTAATCTAAAAATAATATTAGCTTTTTCTGTGCATTGTGAATACTGTTCAAAATTTTGAATAAGAAATGCAGTTTTTCAATCCAATTATATCCAATTGAATCCAATTAAATCCAAAAAGAGTATTCGCTATTTAAAATACGCATTCGAATAGAAAAAAATTTCAATCCATTTTAATCTATTCTCGTTTACTGAAGCACCACATCAATTTTTCAACGCTATGACTTTATCAGCAGTGTCGATAATGAGATATGTAGTTCGCATCATTCTATAAAATTGATGTTGGTGTCGGTAGTGTACGAGAGCTTCGATCCAAACGTTCTAAATGTCACACGAAAAACAAAAAGGCTGGAATGATCACTCTCAGGTTTCTTTTTGGTATCTGAATACACGATATTGCAAAAATTCCTTTTTTTAAAACGCGAGATTGCAATTTTGATTGTCATTGATCGATTTGAGACCTTACGAACTAAAATTTTATACGCGCGTAATATCTTTATACCATCGTTAGCGCTTAACCGATAATCGTTGTATAACGACGTGATCAAGATTGATTGTCCATCTTTGTCTAACTTTGTATATAGTATGGAAGAGAACCAAAAAAACATAGACATTACCCTATGAGTTTTAATACATGAAAAAGGCCGAGATATCCACTGTCCACTCAGTTTACTCTCAGGTGTCTCTCTGTTAAAAAGTACAGACCAAAGTCTACGAGTGCGATAAAGATAGTCTGTTTATTTTTGCCACGCTCCCAGCGGCCGAAATATGATGATTCGACTGGTTTTCTGCTTCCTGATTTCTGTTTTCGTAACAGCGAATTTCGTGGATACATATAGATACAATGGTATTGTACAACATTTTTTAATAATTTTATATATTCATGTTTGCATTTCTAACCTAAAAGTAATAAGTTTTATAACAATTCAATATATTTTAAACGATATAAAAAGATTTCGGCTCTACCAAAATAAATCAATAATTAATAAATATCAATTGAGAGCTAACACTAGATATGTTTGTGTAATTAATTTATTCTAAAACAATAATTTTAATACGATACATGATTTGAGTCCTCTTCAGTACATTAATACAATTGACTTACAATTTAAAGTATATACTTATATATTTATGTCAGATTAAATATATTTGTTTGTAAATTATATAAGTTCTTCATCATCAATTTTAAAATTTTACCGGAGTCTTTTATTATGATAATGCACAACGTTTGTATTTTTCTGTATGTACATATATCTTGACTAAATTTGTCTTAAAATGAATTCTTCGTAATAAAAATGGAATCAGTTATTAATTGAAAATTTAAATGAAACTTGTCTGCAATACATTTTTTTTAACATGATGTGTGCATCCGATACAAACAAATAGTATTTAATTTTTATATTTAAGTAAAAACGTATTAAGTTACATTAAGTTGGTTTTTATTTTTTTTAATTTTAAAGAAATAATCACTCTTTATTATAATCATCCTTCAGATGACATACAACAATTGAATGAAAATGTTATGCAAAAATTGCTGCATACATTGCATAATAATGAATATAAGGACAAACGTAGGAATATTGAAGACGAGTTTGAGAATTGGAATGGACGTTGGATGCCTGACAGACCAGATGATCCAAAACCACCGCCCAAAGTGTTTCCAAAGAATCAGCAACAATATGAATATGAATCTGTAACAGAACTACCTCATAAGATGTATTGGCCTGGGCATTGGATGCCTGACAGACCAGGCAATCCAAAACCACCACCTAAAGTGTTTCCAAAGAATCAGCAACAACACGAATATGAATCTATTACAGAGTTACCTAACAAGACACCTGAGGGTTGGATGTCTGAGAAATTAAATGATCTAAAATTGCCATTCAAAATATCAAACAATGAACAAAGTCATGAATACAGATCTATAGAAGAATTTCCTCACGAGATATATATGGGTCGTGTGTCCCCAGAATGTGATGATGCTAAGGTTTCTATATTCTTCATTTATAAATTATTTGAATTGAAAAGAATATTTAAGTCTTATTTGACAGAATATAGCAGATATTTTAATAGTAATAAAATTTCAGACTAATTTAACTATTGATTGGGATCATACTCCATCAGAATACACATGTTATGATCATACCATCATACCAAGTAAGATTACAGCAAGAATTTATTGTGAGAACATTCCAAAAATGTATAAGGTAAAAATATATCTTATATTATTGTCATTAAATACTAACATTATTTACTAGCACAAATTTTAATCAAAGTATTTTTTAGGCTGCTCATAAGTGTATGAACCAAAGAATTGAATATGATGATGATATTCCTCTTTAGTAAGTATATGACATTCTCTAATCGCAAAAACAATTCTATTCAAACAAAATATTTATATGCGGTTTGCAGCGGTCCTCATAGACCTTTGTGGCCAGTTTACGGAGAATACAAATATTTGCCCAAACAGAGATGGTTGCATAGTCTCGAGGTAATCGTAATAATAACATAGCATATTCTATATAAATGTAATGTCAAAATAATTTATATTTCGTTATATTTCCTATTGTTAATAGCATGGTGCGATTGTCATGTTGTATCACCCATGCGCAAATCCATTAGAAGTAAAACGTTTGAAAAATCTTATTAGCAAATGTCTCTGGCGACATATCATCACACCATATAATTATCTAGAAGAAGAACGAGTAAGTAGAAATAATAGAAGTGTATGTATTAACAGTTTATTTGATATGCAATTTTTTTAAATTTCCTATTTCAACTTGTGTGTGTGTGTGTGTGTGTGTGTGTTTTATATGTGATAGTTGCTTTAAAAAATATATTTAGACAAAATAGATTTTTTAAATAAGCTAAAACTATGTGTTTTTTTTATACAAATTGGTTCATCTCATTATTCTATTCATAAAAGTATTAAGATATAGTTATCAAAACAATAATTGACAAGATATTTAACATTTCACATCAATATATGCCAGAATAAAGTTTAAAATGTCTCTAACAAACTATCGATTTATTATATATTTACCGTGCGTGTGTGTGCGTATACAATATTACTGCATAGTCTCTCGTGAGCAGATAGAGTGGACTAAACTAAGTTGAAAAGTCCTCTACCATTTTGCAATTTTCGTAATGTTTATGAGATATTAATGTTAATGAGATGTTAATGAAATATTAATTTTTAAAGATTGCAGAACAAACCGATGTGCAAGATAACTTTAAGATATTTTTCAGAGTTTTTTATGAAATATCTTAAAGATGTTTCTTAAAGACGTCTTAAGCCTATTCCACAATGCATTCTTTGTTTCCTATTTCTTGCTTTTTACCTCTTTTTTTCTCCTTTTTGCGACCATTTTAACAACAATTTTATATTTTAAATGTTTCCTGTTTTTCCAAGGTTCATTAACTTTTATCTGATATGATAAAAAACAAAAAACCAGATAAAAAAAAGATAAGATATAAAAAATAGCAAAAAAAGAAACAGGAAACAAAAAGTCTAAAGTCTATATCATTTACTATTTTTAAAAGTTTAAATATAGAAGCTACTCAAGTTTCTTTGGTAATTGTTGTCTTCTATTTATACAGCCCTTAGCGCTCCTATCCTGGGGATGCAGATTAACCATGTCTTACGTAAATCCCACGATAGTGGAACGTTTCATACAAAAAAGGGCCCTCCAGGGTCCAGAAAAAATAATTGACGATGGTCAATTCCAGGATGGACTAATGAGTCGATCAAACATAGTGACAGATGAAGCTGATACCGTGCTTTGTCCTAATATGTAAATGATTGTGCATATGTAATATTACAAATAGCATATCTCTATTATTTACAAAATTCTCAATTTATATTTTGTACATATTATTTATTAAATGCATCTAGTTATCTTGTTTTTTATTATATTATATTATATATAATGTTTAGTCATTTATTTAATTTCAAACTATTTAATAACAAGTGTAAACTTGTTTATAGCTTGTAAAGTAAATCTTATAAAATATTATTAAATATTAATAAATCATATGTGAGTATAAATGAAGCCTCATTTTTTTTCATCATTACGTCACTTTCTTCCGTATGATGTATTTCATATTTACAGAGAAGGATTGAAGGAGATGCTGAGAAGACTTAAGAAATCAAGCCGTTCTCTCTTTTCTTTTATTCCCCATATATTCATATATTCTTCATCTTTCGAAGAAGATCATTAAATACATTGAACATCGTGTCGGTTTTTTAAAGTTTCTTCTTGCCGTTTTATCTACAGATGTATAGTAATTTCACTGCTGTGCTGGTTATAATCTTTATTCTTGCAGATTATTTACTTCCAATGATATATAAAATTAGGGGTTAAGACGAGTGATACGCTACTGTTGTTATCAGTAATGCAAAATTGCAACTTGACTACTTAATTGTAAGTTGTTATAACGTAAAAGAATATAATTGTACAGTGAACGCTTCACTTTTCTCCTTCTTTCTTTATCTTCTTTTTTTCGCTTTTATGAATGAACGTGTGTAAATATCGAGAGTCGTTATTCTTACATCGTTGATGTTTCTTGAGTGCAACACGAGTAGAAGCTTGCAATTCGTGTTAGAAGGAACTGCATCTTGCCGAATTGGAACTTTTCTCACGAAAACTCAATCATGTCAAATATAAATCTGAAAATCTAAAATACTTAATATGAGAGACTTAATATATCATAATTCATCAGATGTCTTCATATTCAGAACGGTCTAATTTTTTAGACAATTTAGACTATCTGATTTTCCAACTTTTTAGACGCGTCTTATAATATACATCTGATATTTCAGACATTTAAATCTCAATCTTTTAGACATCTTATTTTTTAAATGCTCCAATTCTTCAGACGCCTTACTTTTTTTAGGCAATTCAGATGTTGTTAGGATATTTCTTAGATATCATTCAAGCCACCTCGATGATATAAAGCCTCAATCTTGAAGTCGAAAGTTACTCTTCCTGACACAAACTGCAGCTTCGAGTCTCGTTAGTCGAGAGAATAAACGCATTTTTATTTTATCTTTTTACTTTTTATAGCGCAATCTAGCGATTTCTAACTGTGTTCGACACATCAAATTTCACGGTAAATTTTCTTTCGACAGCCATGTCTCAGAATTCTCAGAGTAATATATGATAAACAATGCGAAATGATGAGATTACCATTTAGGTAATAGATTTCCATGTAGCAAAAATTGTATTGCAGCAAATAAAGCAAGCAATTTTTTTCATATAATTAGCAAGGTGATATTACAATTTTGCAGTAATGTTCTCGAAAGCAGTTAGATTTCTTTACCAGATGCACGGCTAGAGGCCTACTGCTATGCTCGTAAAGGGATATTTCCTTTGTGCTTGATTACATGACGAAAGGACACATTCATTTGATGACATATTATTTATCTCTACTGCAGAATTAATCATCACTACATCTGAACAATGTAAAATATCCAAGAAATATCTTTATTGCTCGCTTTTACCAATATATTGTAAATC